AAAATTCCATTCTTTTAGGAGTGTATTCAAGACTCTAAAATAGATCTTTTCATTACTAAATCATGGTTCAAAAAGCATGAAATTCAAGGTACAATATACAACACTCTCTAGCTTGAATTAAATCCATGCACACAACTCAATTCAATGGACCAAAAGTTGAAACTCATAAACACACTTCCATATCTTGAGGTTCTTAGCTTTTCATGCACATGACATAACATGGATACACAAAATCATGTTCTACACTTAAGTTCAAAATAAGAAGATAGAATATAACTTCTCCATATTCAATTTTAATTGAATCGAACAACCAAGTAAGGTTATCTTATCCATTAACTTCTTACATACCTATGGAATCATCATTCCAACCCCTAAGTGACATGATCAAGAGGGTATTTCACACATCCTAAAAAAAAAGAGTTATGGGAGTCAATTGAGATAGTCTTATACATACCTTGTACTTAATCTTCCACAAATTCCCAACCTTTTTGATGATCTCTTCCTCTAACCTTCAATTTCCCTCACTCCTCACCTTCCCTTAGGAGAAATGTGATTCCTAAGTCTTATGAGTCATAAGACTCTTATAAGCATATATATATATATATATATACATAGAAAGCTTGAATAGGGACAAAAATGAATCGTTTAACCATTCCCAAATTGAAATTTCACAGAAGTGCTTAATATTACTTAAAAATTATGCTGATTATATATATAAAATCAGTTGCAGATAATTAAGCCTCTAAGGCTTCCAATTTCTGATCTAAGCATTCTCATGTAACAGATACTTTTCTTATGGAACAGATATGGTTTACTTACTTACTTTAAATTTTCCATAGCATTCCACAGTAAGCATTCAAGATCACAAAATAGGATCCGAAAATATAACAAAGAACATGTACGAGGGTCGGGTTATTACACTCTCCCCCCCTTAAATAAGTTTGGTCCTCCAAACTTGTTTTACCTTAGGGTAGAAACAAATGTGGATACTGATGTTGCATTTCCTCTTCTCTTTCCCAAGTTGCGTCAATTCCGTAATGTTCTTGCCATTCCACTTTTACCATTGGGATCTCTTGGTTTCGTAATTGTTTCACTTGTCGATCTAAAATGCGAATTGGTTTCTCCTCATAAGTTAACTTATCATCTAATTCGATCTGCTGATAGTCAATAACATGAGACGGATCCGCAAGGTACCTCCGAAGCATAGAGACATGAAACACATTATGTACTTGGCTCATATGTAGCGGAAGGGCAACCCGATAAGCTACCAGACCCACCCTTTCCAGAATTTGAAAGGGACCAACGTAGCGGGGCGTTAACTTACCCCTTTTCCCGAATCTTGGATGGCCTTTCATCGGAGTAACTTTTATAAAGACGTGACTGCCCACTTCGAATTCCAAATCTCTCCGTCGGTTATCCGCATAACTTTTTTGTCTACTTTGAGCCGTTTTTAATCTTTCCCGAATAATTTTAACTTTTTCAGTTGTCAGCTGAACAATTTCAGGCCCTAGCAAGGATTTATCTCCAACTTCAGCCCAACATACAGGAGAACGACACGGTCTTCCATACAAAGCTTCATAGGGTGCCATTTCAATACTTGAGTGGTAACTATTGTTGTATGCGAACTCTACCAATGGTAAATGGGTTTCCCAACTTTCTTGAAATTCTAGCACACACATCCGGAGCATATCTTCCAGAGTTTGTATTGTTCTCTCGGATTGACCATCGGTCTGAGGATGGAAAGCTGTGCTGAATTTTAATTCTGTACCCATGGCTTCTTGTAAACTTTGCCAGAATCTGGAAACGAACTTTGGATCCCTATCCGATACAATTGAGACCGGTACACCATGCAGTCTTACAATTTCATTCACATAAAGGACCGCCAGTTTATCTGCATTGTACTGAGTCTTCACTGGCAGAAAGTGGGCAGATTTAGTTAGTTGGTCGACAATGACCCATATAGAATTCATACCCCGAGGTGTTCGTGGTAATCCCACAACGAAATCCATGGTTAAATGCTCCCACTTCCATTCCGGGATTGGAAGGGGTTGTAATAATCCCGCTGGTCTTTGATGCTCTGCTTTCACTTGCTGACACTGTAAGCACTTAGAGACGAAGTCTGCAATCTCCTTTTTCATGTTTGGCCACTAAAAATTTTGTTTCAGATCCCGGTACATTTTAGTACTTCCCGGATGCATGGAAAATCTTGAGGCGTGTGCTTCTTCCATCAATTTCCGTTTAAGTTCCAACACATTAGGGACACATACTCGATTTTGAAATTTGAGTACCAAATCCACTAAACTGAACCCCGATTGTGGTTTGGTCTCCAACTCATCACATATCTTCTTTAAAACGTCATCCTCCATTTGATGTAACTTGATATCTTCAAGCAAAGTCGGTTGAGCCATTACTGCTGCCAGGACTGTCTCCTGTCCGTGTATCTTAAATTCCACTCTCATCTTATCCAACTCATTTACCAATTCTCTTTGCTCCGTAAACAGGTTGGCCAAATCTCCCATAGTTTTCTGACTAAGAGCATCTGCAACCGTGTTGGCCTTACCGGGATGATAATGGATCTGTAAATCATAATCTTTAATTAACTCTAACCACCGACGCTACCGCATGTTCAATTCCTTCTGGGTAAAAAGGTACTTAAGGCTTTTGTGGTCGGTGTAAACTTCGCAGGTAGTACCATACAAATAATGCCGCCATATCTTTAGAGCAAAAACCACTGCCGCAAGCTCGAGGTCATGCGTGGGGTAATTCTTTTCATGGGGTTTAAGTTGTCGTGAAGCATAGGCTATGACTCTTCCACCTTGCATAAGCACACACCCTAATCCCTTATGAGACGCATCACTGTAGATCACAAACCCTTCGATACCAGATGGTAAAGCTAGAACTGGAGCTGTGGTTAATTTCATCTTTAATTCCTGAAAAGCAGATTCCCGCTCTTTTGACCATTCAAATACAACTCCCTTTCGAGTCAATTGTGTAAGTGGTCCAGCAATTTTAGAAAAATCTTGAACGAATCTCCTGTAATAGCCAGCTAACCCCATGAAGCTACGCACTTCGGCCACATTGGTAGGAGTCGGCCATTTCACAATCGCCTCAATTTTGTGTGGATCAACAGAAACCCCTTCCTTTGTGATGATATGCCAAAAGTAAGACAAAAACTCACTTTAGGTCACAAAACAAGACTAAACAAAGAAATATAGATACAAAACTATATCTATCCTCTCTAGGCCATTTTTCTGAACCTCTGAGGAGGGAGGAGGAACTCCCTCTTTATGGAAGTTCAATTCCAAGCTTCCAAGGGAAGCTAAGCAAAGGGGAGGATATCGTCAATAAAGACCACCACAAATTCATCCAAATAGAACTTAAAGACACGGTTCATCAAATCCATAAAAGCTGCTGGGGCGTTAGTAACTGTAAAGGGCATAACCAAAAATTCGTAATGACCGTACCGAGTCCGAAAAGCTGTCTTCTCTACATCATCAGCCTTGACTTTTAATTGATGGTATCCAGACCGTAGATCAATCTTAGAAAAGACCTGTGCCCCTTGAAGCTGATCAAATAGGTCATCGATTCTTGGCAACGGATACTTATTCTTGATTGTGACTTTGTTAAGTTCTCTGTAATCGATACAAAGCCGGAGTGTTCCATCCTTCTTCTTTACAAACAAAACTGGTGCACCCCACGGAGATACACTCGGACGGATAAATCCTTTGTCCAATAAATCTTGCAACTGCATTTTCAATTCTTTCATCTCAACTGGCGACATTCTATACGGAGTCTTAGAAATGGGTTGAGTTCCCGGTGCTATGTCAATTGTAAACTCAATTTCACGATCTATTAACTGTCCTGGTAATTCTTCTGGAAAAACATCCAGAAATTCACAGACAACTGGGATCATGTCGGTATTCCCATTCACCATTTGCCCCTCTAAAACACTGCATAAATACCTCTGACACCCTTTCTGAACTAATTTACAAGCCCTTGCTGCAGAAATTAAATAAGGTGGTGAAGTCATTCCATGTCCCTGAAAGGTAGACCCTGATTGCCCCGGAGGGTGGAAACTGATTTGTTTAGTCAAACAATCTATAGTTGCACCGTATTCACCTAACCAGTCCATTCCCAGAATAATATCAAAATAGGCCATATCAAGAGGCAACAGATTGGCATATACCCTGACATCCCCAAGTTGGAGTTCACAAGCAGCATAGATAGAAGTACAACTCATAGGGCCTCCCAAAGGTGAAGTCACACACAACATATAAGACAGTTTTTCTTCAGTTTTATCTAACTTAGGAGCAAATAGTTTCGACACAAAAGAGTGGGTGGAGCCAGAATCAAATAATACGTGAGCAAAATGACCGTGAACAATAAATGTACCTGACACCACTGTTGCTGCATTTTGCACATCTCCCGGAATTAATGCGAACACCCTGCCTTGTCTCGCAGTGTCTTTATTATTTGAAGGTTTAACAGTTGTCTTGGTGTTGGAAGTTGGTACAGACCCCGCTGAACTTGTAGTGGTTCTATTATTGCTTTGTTGATTTCTTTGAGGGCAATCCTTGATCAAATGACCCGTCTTGCCACACTGGAAACAGGCTCCAGACTTCCGATAGCACGTTCCACGATGCTTCTTTCCACATTCCGGACAAGTCGGTATTGAATCCTGACTAGGGGTAGAAGTATTTGAACTCCCTAAAGTCTGCTTCTTGTTTGGTGGAGTAGGTGATCCCTTCGACCATTGAGTATTTTGCCTCTTCCCTTTCCATTCCGAGATTCGACTCTGAGTAGCAAGATTTCCTTCCGCTATAACAGCTCTTTCCAACACATCAACGTAAGTAGGTAACTTCAACATGTTGACCTTATCCAGGATAGCGCTCCGCAATCCCCCTTCAAATTTGCGCGCCTTCTTATAATCCGTGTCCACCATATGAGGTGCGAACCGAGCTAACTCCGCAAATTGGGCTTCATATTCGGCGACGGTTTTGTTCCCTTGCCTGAGAGTTTCAAATTCTGTTACCTTCTTATCCCGCACACTTTGAGGGAAGTACTTCTTATCCCGCACACTCACGTAGTTCCGGCTTAGGTTCGCTCGAGTATTTTCACTCTCCTTTTGCGCTCTAACTTTTGCCAAGGCCGCCCTTTGCGGGTTTTCAGCCTTGCGAGCTCAGTTTTTATACTTTCTAATTTTTTGTGCTCTAACTTTTGCCTAGGTCGCCCTTTCGGGTTTTCGGCCTAGCGAGCCTCTCAAGGATAGTATTTCTTCAACTTGTCCATATTGATCGGTTGAGAGAATTCTAAGCCATCTAAGTCCATCAGAACCACAGCTCCGCCTGACCAGATAGCTTTGATGATATAGGGACCAGTCCAATTGGGTCTGAACTTGCCCCTCGGGTCGTGGATGGGAGCTCGGTTGTCTTTGAGTACCAAATCCCCTTCCCTTAGATTTCTGGACTTAACCCTCTTGTTAAAAGCCCTCGCAATTCTGCGTTGATAACTTTGAACGTGGTACAGTGCTTTCAGCCTTCTTTCGTCAAAGAGCATAAGTTCCTCGAACCTGCTCTACTGCCAATCTGCCTCAGCTATCTGACACTTAGCCAATACCCGTAAAGACGGAACTTCAATTTCAATAGGTAGAACAGCCTCCATTCCATAAACTAACGAATACGGAGTCGCTCCGGTAGAAGTTCTAATTGAAGTCCTGTAGCCCCACAGAGCAAACGGCAACTTATCTGGCCAATCTCGGTAGGTCTCAACCATTTTCCGCAGTATATGCTTGATGTTCTTGTTGGCGGCCTCAACTGCTCCATTGGTTTGCGGCCGATACGTAGATGACTTATGAAAAGCCACGTTATACTTCTCCAACAAGTCAACCACTTCTTTCTTAAAGTGGGATCCATTATCCGAAATAATCTCGTTTGGCACCCCGTAGCGACAAATAATGTTGTTTCTGATGAACTTTGCGACATGCGACGCTTTCAACACCG